AAGTATTTTAAAAAAGGAACAAGGGGAAAAGATTGCACCTTATATTTTCAAAATAAATGATACTCAGACACTGGAAGATTATCTAAGAAAAGAAAGGATTACTTATGAAATTTACCATGAAGAAAGGAAAATAATAAATGTTGGAAAAAGAAAACATCATGATTATACATGTTGTCAAAATTATTGAATTGCATCAGACGCAATTCAAAAACCAAAAAATCGAGCATTGCACCCATCATGGATTTGACGCATTGACGCAAGATGCAATTCATGACGCAAGACGCAACTCATAATTTATTAATGTGATGCATGTATATGTGACATTTTCAAATTTTGTAAAAGTGTTAAAATCTATAATTTTTTTTTACTATTATCATTTCAACTATTAATTTATTACAGTAATTAATTTCTGTGAATTAATTAAAATATAAACCTTTTCTTGCATATTAATAAAAAAAATTTTTTTTTGATGAGTTTGCCCATAATTATAACTTTCTATTTCAGAAATTGGAAAAGTTATTGTCTAATATGAATCATTGTTTAATATGAAAGAACCTTCGGATGTGTTACATTCATATTATGTAATTTTCAAAATTATCATCCAAAATATTAAAAAATTCCTCAAATTCCTCAAATTGGTAGAAATCATAAAGTTCATATTATTTTTGAATGCAGTGTTATTTATAGCATTTTTTGAATGTAATATCAATGTTTTCAATAGCATGAATTGCGTCTTGCGTCTGTGTCAATGCGTCACGCATAGTACTAATTGCGTCACCCGCCTTTTAATAAAATAATATATTTGTTATTTTCATGATTCAAGTAATAATTTGATTAAATCGGGCAAGTTTGTGTATGAAAGCGTGATTTTTTTCTTCATTTTTTCATATAAAATTCCATGTTGATCAAAAAAATTTTATTAGTGAGTGACACTTGACCCCCTGTAGATCCGCAATGTCCTGCGACTGATATGTTTTTTTACGCTATCAAAATTCGCGATTTTGATTGGCCAATCAATGATTACATGGAGTTAAAATTTCGTGTTACCAGCACGGTCTCTAGACTCGCGTCATTCGCGAAAAGTATTTTTTAAATTACATAACACCTTCAAAAACAATTTTTTTTTTCTTGAAAAAATGAACCTATATTTTAAAGATCAATTACCATACACCTTTGATTTGATTCGCTTTTATGTTTTCCAAATAATTTACGAAGACAAAATTAAGACAAAATATAGTAATAAGGTAAAAGAAGTGAAAACTTTATGATACAATAAAATTATTTTACTTAGTGTTGTTTTTTACTATGGTTTTATTTCTGTTTATTTCAGTTAGAAATAAATAACCATTTTTGCAATGGAATTGAATTATTTTCTCTTAATGATGAAGAGTATAGGACGCACTTAAAAGATGAACATCTTTGTATCACTGAGGTTAGTTTAAATCTTTGCTGTGGAAAAAATTATTTTCATTCAAATGATGAAAAAAAAATCTCTGGAGACGATTTATAATTCTTATTACATTATTATTATTTTATTATTGTTATATGACTTTAAATCCTCTGTGAGGCACTTGCACGCTTGATGCTCTGTGAGCTCCCTTGCACGCTTGTGTATTTCCTTTTAAAT